ACAGCCAATCAGGACTGACTCGGTTTTTCATAAATTATCAAGCCTTGGTAATTTATTGCATTCCTCTATCCCAAGGTTTCACCCTTTTAATAGCCACTCGGCATTATAAAAAGAGAGAGACTCAATTAAAAGAGAGAATAGAAGAAAGAGGCGATAGAATCTGTCTTTCGCGCTCCGGCATTCGCGCCTCTCTTGCGCGCACACTGCGCTGCGCAGGGTCGCTTATGCGTACTTTATTGCATCCGGCTTAACGAGAACCCACCCCAGATCCTAAATGTCAGAAACATTGTTACAAGGCGATGTATTTATTAGTTTTAAAACTTCTAACGCATGTGAAGTTGGCAATTATTTTATGACGTCTTGGAATGCTTGAATGAATCGTTTAACATGCCATTCATCTACCTTTTTATTAGTTAGAGGTTTAAAGAATTCGAAACTAATTATTTGAAAGTAAGAAATTCAAACATTTTTACTATTTGTTAATCAATTTAATACTAATTATGTTTTAGTCATATATTACAATTGTATCAAACTACTCGCGCATAAATAACAAAACTACGGATGACAAATACAATAAAAAATTGTTAAAATATTTAAAGTTGAATATAGAGGTACGATTACATTAAAGTTGAAAAAAATGATAGTTGAAGATAGGGCGGAAATACGTTGACAAAAATAAATAAAATTAAAAGTTTAATATTACAAAAATCAACACTTATGATTTATTTATCGAGTACACTTATTTTTAAAAACTACTACTAACACTTAAACCGGCTAAAATTCCTGAAATAACCTAAATTATTGATTATTCATAGTTTTAATATCAATGAGAAAAAAGTTCAATACAATAACAAAAAAATAATACATTATAATTATAATTTCTATTTGATAAAAACAATGCTTTTAATTGGAGCGTTAAAGAAATATTTAAAAAATAATCGATTTATTATTAATCGATAATAAGAATTATGACAGATGATAGCAGACGTGCGAGACGGCGATCGACCTTGGCTTTTCCCGCGAGCGGGAGTCAGTTTTTCCTTTTTGGCGGGAGTCGGTGCCCCGGAGCCGGACAAACAATGGAGCCCCGGCATTGACAAGCCATCCCTCACTGACCCTTTCCCCCCTCCAGTCAGGAAGGGGGGATAAAAAATATATGAAAAAAATAAAGACTTACAAAAAGAAAAACTTTCCCATTCAAGCTTAGGTTTTTCCAAGGGAAACCGGTGAGCTGGCTTCTCATAACCGAGGTCTTGTTAGTCTTGTGTATTGGATGCTCTTCCCTTCTTTCCATTAAACCAGCCTAACTGATTATATTAAAGTTAATCAAAGACTAAGGGCAAAACTTAATTAATGCTTTAATTTTTATAAACTGCCACTATTAATTCATTTTTTTTTTTCCTTCCACTTTTTTGTTCCACTTTCCCTGTTTTGATATATTCATGTATCCTTTTATACATAATCAACTATACTACGTCTGATATATAGTAAACAATATATCATAGGTACAATATATTAGATGGATAAATATTAATATAGGTTGACATGTAGACAAAATAAACATTATAAAAAAATAAAAATCAACAAAAATTGTGTGTTAAATTTAATACAATTTAATAGAGTATAAATAATAACCTATGTATATATTTTATGTGAATGATTCAGTTTATTTTTTTTTTTTGGCGGGTTGTTTTTCTTTATATTAAAAAAATTAATTTAAGGTTTAAAGGTTTTTATAAAAATAAATATCTTACCATATACACCCTTTTGTCCAAAAGTGGTAGATTTTAATATTGTAAAATGTATAACTAATTTCTGTAATAATACAAGTTCTTTAATAATCATAGCCTGATTATTTAAAAATAAATAGAATACATGTGGTATTATTTTGTTTTTTAATTTATGTAAGTACCCTGTTCAATTATCATATTATTGACTAAATGTAAAATAAAATCTGTGCCCTGGAGGCAAAGGACACAGTGTCCATTCTTCCATTAAATAGTTTAGTAAATAAGGAAACAAATTTAATAGCTCAAAGTTTTGGAAATTTGGCTCCCCTGAACAAATACAAAAATGGATTATCGAATTAGTTACTGTTAATTTAACTTTCACATAAGTTATTAGTTTTTTTATTTCACTTATTGTAACCCTTAGGTTAATTAAATTTACCATTTTACTATTATAAATTTAATATATTTTTATATTAATGGGAATTTTATAAATTTTGACGCTAATGTTAATATAGTCATATATATAATGAATTATTTCTCTAACACATGTTTTGGCACATTTTTACAGTATTATACATTTTTTTTCGTCTTAATAATGTACGAATCATTTCTATAATAACTATTTTATACTAAACTATCAACTTTTTTCCCTTCAACTATAACTGAAAATTTTCTAGTAAGGACTCAATGACTCTGGTGACTTACGTTATAAACTATTTATTAGTTATAAACTCTTAAAAAAAGTAAAATAAAATTACTAATAGCTTATTAACATGATTTTCATAGTCTACTCAAGTTTTTATTTCATGGGCCATTTTCTTAAATGACATTCTTTTCTAATTGAGAGTAATGGTCCCAATCAAAGGAAAAATAATAAAATAAATGATTATTTTCTATAGTAAAATTTAATTTAAGATCCGCATAGCCAAAAATTGAGCATAAAATCCAATTACTAGATAATAAAGTTTCATTAGTTAAGTATCCTATATCACGCGATCGTCCGAGATAATATAAGATTAAATAGATATTAAAATATAATTTTATAACTATATTATGTACCAGTTTATTTTATTACATTTTTATAGAAAAGCATAAAAACATTAATAAGCCTTTATCATTGACATTGTAATGTGTAAATCATTTTTAAAATAAAGTAATATATATATTCAATATAATTATATTTTATTTCTTCACATTTTAAATTTTTTAACAATCGTAAATTGTAATTACATTGCATAATTGCCTGGCAGTAGAGTCCATTGCAGTACCGAAATAGGTTCCTGTCCAAAACTCATCGAAAGGTAATCAATTTTTTCAATAATAAAAAAAAATTACTGAGATTGTCCAGGCCCATAATCATTTCTAGCAATTATGAGACTGTTATTGTTATTTGTAATCATCAGAAGAGGATCTGTTATTTACTTAACTATTTCTAGGAGAGATATTTTGGAACTGGTCATTATATACCATTTCGATTGATACTTATTGAACATTTCGGACATTATTTGATTTATAATTATATATTTTTGAATGCTTACATCTGATCAATTTTTTTAGAGGGAGAGGAGGTATACACAACTTTAATTTTTACTTATTTTATTTTAAATTTTAGGTTATTCTATTAAAAATTATCATGAGATAAGATTATTTTACAAAAAAGGTGCGATTTAACCACTTTTGATAGAAATTACTTGATCCTTAATACATAACATCAGTCATTAATAATAAATAAATTACTAGAATAATGCTTAAGACTATTCATTATTAAACCAAATTGTAAATTATAAAATCTCTTTTAAGATCTAGTAAGAAATTAGAAATCTTAATTGAAAAATAAAATTAAAGAAGAATTTCATTCATAAATTAATCATTAAAAAATTAATAAACAAAAATTATTTTAATCATTCATATACATCATAATTAACATGGAAAACAAGTTTAATTATATTTAAAAGATCCCATTTTTTAATTACAAAAATTCCTTTTATGGTATCATTAGCAAATGATAAAGGATTACAGACTCAGAAACCAATGGTATGATAATGATGAATTCATCAAAGATATTGATAACTTTTTTCTTATTTTTATACAATTTAAAAAAAAAATGATAAGCATAAATAAAATTCCTTTTAATGATATCAATCTTGGACGAAATCAACCTAGATTATAGTCATCACGGTGCATTCCAAAACCATTTGTATCCAACGCCCTGTATTTAACCGAACCCGTGTTAGCTTTGCTCATCCACCCTCTTCCGTTCCGCCACGCATTAATTTTCATTGTCTTCTTTAAGAATAGAGTTCCATTTTTTTTAACTTCTCTTATTTTTTTTTTATCTGATTCAGGAACCCTCACGTACACCTGCGGCATAACCGAGATCTTTGGAACAAATGTACTTTCTTGGTTGCTCTCATGAAAAGATATTAATCTTTTCAACTTTTCCTATTACTTTTTAGAAAGCCACAGGAAGTGGGAAACGCTTTGATAACGTTTATTGTGATGGAAATCTCTTATCACAGAGCATTTAAGTCATTTAAAGAATAATAAGTAAACATCAATTACTTGATTTTTTTTTTAATTTTTTTTTTTTTTTTTTTTTTATGATTCTTCTCTAATACTTAGATGATCCGGTTTTATTTAAGGAAAAGAAAATATTAGATTCAGAGCTCTTAAAATACCTGATCGGATGTACTACTATTAGAAAGGTTTTGAAAGCAAGTTTCTCCCTAAACTGTTACATCCTCGGTATCAGTTAAACTGAAACCACAAGCTCCGAAATGACAGGTTAGCATTAACATTGTTCCTAATGATAGTTAAAGTCGGAATGCAACAGTAGAAAGTATCGTAAATCGTGCGGGCCAATCGTAAATCGAAACGCGCCCACGGTGTCATCCTTATTTCTCTTAAATGACCTTTTTATGATTCCTAATGACTCGAGCTTGACACCATGGATTACTAAAGGTCCTCCCCGCCCTAATTATTCCTTACTTACAGGTGACAGTCCACCTGTTCCCCCACGTGAATATATAAGGATGCAAATATCAGCCACGTGGACGTGGTACGTGGGTATGCTAATATATGTTCCATTATGCACCCTATCCTTTTTTACTTGATACAATGCAGTTGAATCCATACAGCACAGGCTCTGTGATATTCGACAACACAATTATTAAAAGTTATATCTACATTTGTTTATTATATTAATTAAATTAAGTTCCATTCTTATTAATAAATAAACACTTTTCTTAAATATTTCTCTCTTTTTTGCAGGTTGGAGGTACAGGAGTGGATGGAAGCATGTGATGGTTGAGGTGCTCACGAAATGCCCTCTCCCGTCGGGTCGCTAGACGAAGGGGACGCTATAAGGATGAGTCCCGAAGAGGAAAGCACGCCGACGGCCGGGGTTATTGCCGGCGTTTCTGAAAACGAACCTAGAATGTCCTCCCCACCTTCAGGTAGCAAGTTCTGCGAAGATAAGGACAAATATGATGACTCGTGGGGAACGAGTGACGTTGAGAAATTTGACGGAAAGATAGTCTACAACCCGGATGGGTCAGCTTATATCATCGAAGACAGCGAGTTGAGCGAGGAAGACCCAGAACTTCCCCAGCTCATTGGAGACGGCTGCATAGTTGATGGTCGAGGGGTCGACACCCAATATCAGGTTTTCCCTCAGATCGCAAATGCTTTTTATGTCTCGAGAAATACTTCAATTCTCGCCTCTCTTTATGGTGACTACAAACTGAAAGAAAAAGCTCCGGAAGTCCCTATTATGCATTCCTATAGGGTGTTCACCGTAAGAGATAAAAGTGCCGAAGATCGTAGCCAAACGACCCAACAAAACAATACTGGGAAAGACTGTTCTTCCGTTCCAGTAAAACCTATCCTCATGTGCTTTATATGCAAGCTCTCTTTTGGATATTCAAAGTCTTTCGTTGCCCATGCTATGGGAGATCATAACTTGGTTTTACAAGAAGATGAGAAGGATATTCTAGGTCACAAAAACGCTTCGGCGATTATACAATGTGTTGGGAAGGAGAAAGAACCCTTGGTTTCCTTCCTGGAACCTGTGAGCCCAGTTGTGAGGCCGGTGAGTGAGTTGAAGAGGGTGAGTGAAACGGACGATAAAGCTGAGGATCTTGCGCCGTCTAGAGTTTCGCCGCAGGACCTGCATAAAATTGTTCCTGAGACTATACCGGTCTCCCTACCTCAAAACGGTAGTTCTAGTATTAGTGTTAACAATAGGCTTATCAACTGTGGAATAGACTTGACGAGGAAAAGCCCAGCTAACGAAATGTCACCTGGTGCCAGCCCGTCACCTGTATCAAACCTCAGCCCTTTACTCAATATGTATCCTCAACACCCGCCCAACTTCCTCACCGGTACGACAATAGGAGTCTGCCCGGACCACATGGGTGGGAGGCCGTCCGGAGTAGAGTGCGCCAAGTGTGAGCTTATTCTTACTTCATCCCGATTAGGCGTCGGTGGACCTTTAGCCGGTATGCATTCTCGGAACTCTTGTAAAACACTGAAGTGTCCGAAATGCAACTGGCATTATAAATACCAAGAAACACTCGAAATACACATGAAAGAGAAACATCCTGAAACTGAAACATCTTGTATATATTGTATAGCTGGTCAGCCCCACCCACGGTTGGCTAGAGGAGAGACGTACACGTGTGGCTATAAACCATACCGTTGTGAAGTTTGTAATTATTCGACTACAACCAAAGGGAATCTTAGTATCCACATGCAATCTGACAAACATCTCAATAACATGCAGGAGCTGCAGAACGGTGGAGTGCAATCTGAGATGCAACAGCCCACTCCCCCACCACAAAACAAACCAGGTGGCATGCCAAGTCCAGCACACCACTCTCCTATCAGTGCTCAAAGCCAAAAACCTAAACCCACGTTCAGGTGTGATGTTTGCAATTATGAAACTAATGTTGCTCGAAATTTGAGAATACATATGACATCTGAAAAGCATACACATAATATGATGGTGTTACAACAAAATGTAAAGCATATGCAAACCTTAGCTCTTCAGCAATCACACCACCAACAACTGAACTTTGAGTCTCTTCTTCATTTCCATCCTGGATTGACATTGCCTGGGGAAAAGCCTCCTCCCCATACGGAGGCGGCTCTTGCGGACATGGCATACAATCAAGCTCTTCTAATTCAAATGATGACGGGAGGTCAACTCCCGCCTCATATACCTCCTGAATTAGCACCACACATGGATATGGGACTCAACCCAGAAACAATGGAACCTCCGCCAGAGCCTGCTGACCCCAACCCTGAACATATGTTCCAATGTTGTGTCTGCAATGTCTTCGGTACTGATTCATTGGAGGCATTATCTCACCATCTTGCCCAGGACAGGACTAAGATCAGAGAGCAGGAAATACTGGCTCTTGTCGCCGGGCATTATGTCTGTAAGTTGTGTACCTACAAGACTAACCTGAAGGCCAATTTTCAGCTCCACTGCAAGACGGACAAACATCTCCAGAGGCTTCAACATGTTAACCATGTGAAAGAAGGAGGTCCCAGGAATGAATGGAAGCTGAAATATGTTTCTTCACCTGGTGGTGTCCAGGTTCGATGTCACGCCTGTGATTACTATACTAACAGCGCTCACAAACTGCAATTGCACGCTGCAGGTCAAAGGCACGAAGCGGCTCAGTTGTTATTCAGGCACCTAAGAGAATCTGATAACGAACCCGGGATGAAGATGTATCACTGCGCTCTTTGTGGTTTCTCTGCGAGGGCGAAGCTGCCGCTGCTCCAGCACGTAAGGTCCATGAAGCATCTTCAGATGGAGCAACTCCACCAGCTCCAGCGGCGGTCCGAGGGCAAAGAGCTTCAGACTGACATCGGTGAAGTGTTCCAGGTCATACCTCAGCAGCATGAACAAGATCAAGGTAAATATTTCACCATTAAAACTATTGAGTTAGTTTCAGTATTTTATAATTATTATTATAGATAACTTAGTTAAAGTTTAATTCATCAAATGTTTTTAAAATAATTTGTCATATATATATATATATATATCGATTCATTGTTATTTTGGAGAAATAATATATTATGGGGAATAACGTTCAGATCTTTCTTCACATTATTATAGAAGTAAAATTGATTAAAAAAAAAAAAAAGAAAAAAAGAAGAAAGAACATTCGGTTAGGAAATTGTTTTTAAAATAATTTGTCATATATATATATATATATATATATATATATCGATTCATTGTTATTTTGGAGAAATAATATATTATGGGAAATAATGTTCAGATCTTTCTTCACATTATTATAGAAGTAAAATTGATAAAAAAAAAAAAAAAAAAAAAAGAAGAAAGAACATTTGGTTAGGAAAACCTAAATATATATATTTGTATAATTTAAATGAGTTACAAATTAAATTTATTAACATTATTGGTGATGATAATTTTCATAAAATGGCGAAATAATTAAGTTGATTATGTTCTCAATAACTTGTCTCCAATTGACATCCGTATATTAACTGCTTAATTATTATTAATTTTTGTTGAGTAAGTAGTTACGTAAAGTATATAAAATTAAATATTATCTAAGGCTAAATTTGCGATAATACTTTTACTCACTTGGCGTAATCCTGTAATTATGTGGAGTAGATTTCAATAATAATGTTTTATTAATTACATTGAAGAATTAATTAGTTATATTTTCCATTGTTTTTTCGCATACTAGGATAAAGCGAAGTATTTAAATAAATTAATATTTTAAATTAGCTTTGCGTGTTGTTTATTTTCGAACTAAAGAATTTATTTTACTTTATCAAATACCAATATTTAAATAAAAAAAATCAATTGTATTCTTTTAAATATTCACGATCCAATTTATCGTAATCGTTTCTCTGAGATCTGGTTTGATGTTGTTTCTTTGACTGTTAGTTATTCATTAAAATTTCCTTTTTCTGTTTTAATTTAATCATTATTAAATCAAAGTAAATGTGTAGTTATTAATTTATTCATTTCATTATTTTTGTGTGGAATAGTTTCATGTTTAAAATGTGGTAAATAAGTTAGGTGTAAAGCAGTATTTAATTTTAGATTTTTTTTTTGTTTTGATTTGTTAATGGCGGTCTTGATTTGTCTCTTTTGTATCATACAAATATAATTTTATAATTTATGACAAAATGAAATGTTTAGATTTATCAATTTGGGATCTTGCAATGCTTAGTTATATTAACAGTTGTTTAGGAAGCTGGGATGCGTTATGTTGAGATTTGGCGAGCCGTAGATCCCTTAAGGCTGTTAGAGATGAGGGGCAGGCGGTAGGGGGGCATTGTCTCCCATATAAGGGAAGAGCGGGTTCTTCCCCTCGATCCTATTGGCTGGGGGGTCCGCGGTAGGCGTGGCCTAACCAATCGAGGCCTTGGATACATTATTCATTTCTTAGTTGCCCCTTCTTCAGCTGAGTTTATTCAACGGTGGGCCTACGGCCTCGATGTAATTATGATGGCTCATTAACATTCTGGATACATTAGTGATGTTGTCTAGCTTTATCAGTTCTTATTCTTTTTTTCATACGCCCTCCGAATTATTTATTTATCATGGTGATTTTACATTCTTTTCTCTATCTATTATATGTGTTATTTATTTTATTTATTGTATTTCTATTGATATTAGTACCAATGAACATATTTGTATGTTTCTTTTGTTACAGAAACTAGCAAGGAGAGTAGACCTGAACGTAAAGAAACACTGATGAACCACGAAGAATCGGAAGACCGACCCGGTGAACACGCTTGTCCATTTTGCAATTACACCAGCAATTCCGAGATGAGAATACAAGCCCATGTACTTGCCCAGCATCCCCAACAGGAGCAGCATCATAACAAAGAGCAGCCCTCGAGAGATTTCCTCTGTCCCCTCTGCCAGGACGGCTTTAAAGACAAACCTTCTCTTGAGAAGCATGTGATGCAGATACATAGCGTAAATTCTGAGGGCCTTCAGAGGTTGCTGATGTTAGTTGATCAGTCACATTGGCTCAATCAGAGCAGGTCGACACCCGGACAGAGCAACAGTCCGTCATCATCATCGGAGAGAGAAAAGGAGTCTAAAGAGGAAGAAAAAGAGGAGAGCATGGAAGACCAAAGTGAAGATGAAAATAAATGTCAAGCCTGCAGTAGAACATTTAAGAATATTGACGAATTATGTAGCCACCAAAACGAGACAGGACATCTTGAGTTGAAACAAACCCCGAGTGGCCCTGGTTATCTGTGCTGGAAGAAAGGATGCAATCAGTACTTTCAGACAGCCCATGCGTTGCAAATGCATTTTAGAGAAATTCACGCACGCGGTGGTAATCAAAATATGGCCGTATCTGAAAAACATGTCTATAAATATAGATGTAATCAATGTAGTCTGGCTTTTAAAACTATGGAAAAATTACAACTCCATTCACAGTATCATTTGATCAGAGATGCTACTAAATGCGTATTGTGTGGTAGAAGTTTTAGGTCCATACTAGCTCTGCACAAACATGTCGAAACAGCTCATTCAGATTTGTCTGAAGATGAAATGGCTGCTTATAAACAGAGTCTTATGAATAATCCTTTATTATTAGCTGGTATCAGTGGCCAGATTCTCGACCCGTCTACAAACGAACTTCTCAAGAGAGAAAGCATGAAAGTAGATGGAGAAGAAATGGAAACCGACGAGAATAAAGAACATGATGAACAATTGCCACCAGAAGGTGAAAATAGTGATGATTCTATAATATACAAAGAGCAACAGTTTTTGGAGGATTATCTCAATAGCCAGGCTATTGCTGAAGATAGCTATAATGATCCTTCACGTAAATACAAGTGCCACAGGTGCAAAGTAGCTTTTACTAGGCAGAGCTATCTCACTAGTCACAACAAAACTCTCTTACACCGTAAAGGAGAAAAGCTTTCTTATCCAATGGAAAAATATTTAGATCCAAATAGACCATATAAATGTGATGTCTGTAAAGAATCTTTTACTCAAAAGAATATCCTTCTTGTTCATTACAATTCTGTCAGTCATTTGCACAAATTGAAAAGAGCAATGCAGGAGCAACAGCAATTGCAGCAGAACAATAACAACAATAATCCAGTGTCTCCGCATGCAACGGCCGCCGCCGCCGCTGCAATTGCTGCTTCATTAGGTGTTCCTCCAGGAATGGGTCAGAAACAATCACAAGATGAAGATGATAAGAAACCGTACAAGTGCAATATTTGTAAAGTAGCCTACAGCCAAGGGTCCACCCTGGATATCCATATGCGGTCTGTATTACATCAAACCAGAGCATCTAAGCTTCAAGACCTAGCAATTACTGGACAGATTGATTTGAGCAAACCATTAATTGAACAGCCTGAACCACAAAAGGCACAAGACCAACACAAGAAACTGATTCAGGATATTTTGGGAAGTTCACCGAAGCAGGTCATGTCTTCTCCACCCTCATCAGGGAGCGGCTCCATATCCTCCCAGATCCCTGGCTCTTCCCCGGGATCCTCTAATATAGTTCCTCCAGCCGCTTCAACCCCTAACTCTAATACAGTTCCTACTAGTTTATCCAATTCAACATCGAATTCTGTGATACCTTCTCCTAATTCTCAAGGAATGTTAACATGTGGACGTTGCAATGCTTTATTTGTGAACCAAGAACAACTTACAACTCATCAGCAACTATATTGCCTATTTAACAACCCTATGTCTATGTTTCCTCCATTGCCGACACCCCCTTCATCATCGGCAAACCTTTCATCACCTACACCTAGTAAGTCACCACCAGCAATTCCTTTAACTCCAATGACTCCATCTAATGAAGATTCATTTCCTAGGATATCATTACCAACTAAAAAATCATCACAAATGTACAAACATTTATTAGAGAGTTTTGGTTTTGACCTTGTTATGCAATTTAATGAGAATCATCAAAGAAGACAAAGGAAAGAGCGAGAGGAAACTGAAAAATTTCTTTCAGAAATATCATCTACAACACAACCATCTGATGAAGCTCAAGAAATGCCTCCTGAGCCTGAAAAGGTAGAAGTGAAAATGGAAGAAGAGCTGGTAGATTTACCAGAAGTTGCAAAATCAACTTGTCAACACTGCAATAAAGAATTTTCAAGTGTGTGGGTCTTAAAAGCTCACTGCGAAGAGGTTCATAAAGACTTAGTACCCTTGGATTTTCTTGAAAAATATGCGCAACAAATCAAATGTGAATATGAAAAGAAAATTCCTACTACTGCTGGAACACCTGCTGTCACTTCGACTACAGGTTCTCAGGAAAATAACAACACTACCACACCTGAAAAGGAAGAGGATAATAAAGAAGCCATTCAAGCAAAAATAGGATTGCAGCAGCAACAAACTCCTGAAGCTGCTACTGCACCTAGCACTCCAACTGCATCTTCCACACCTGCTTCATCAACTGATTCTTTACCGGCAAACTTGAGTAATTCATTAGCTGCTGCAGTTGCAGGCATGAGTGGGAATGCAGCTAATATGGCACTTGCTCAGCATATGAATGAAATGCAAGCTGCACTTAATGTTATGGCTGCATCACAAATCCAACAGCAGTTGCAGCAGTTTAATCCAATGATGATGGGCATGGCTGGGCTTGGTATGGGACTTCCACTCGGACTCAACATGCCAGCTTTAGCAGCAATGAATCTGCAACCACCTCTAGTTCCTATGATGATGCCACCACCAACATTTGATTCTATGGTTGGCCTCAGTCAAGGGCAAAATCCACTATTCAACCCCCAGGGCATGGATGCGACTGCAGCACAGCTGATAGCAAAACAACAGCAGGCTTTAATGCAACAACAACAGCAACAGGTGGTAAGTGAATTTTGTTTTAAAAATTAGTAAATGTCAATTTATTTATAATTTATGTACAGTTTGATATATTTCATCATTAGATCTTTCTATTTTAATATATTATGAAATTTTGTGTTCTCATTGTGAATTTTCTTAAATTAAAGTGCATTTTTATGTTAAATTTTGTCAATATTTAAAAACAAAATTGGTTATTTTCTTTTGATTAGATTTTTTATTTTTCCTAAACTTTTTTATATTAATTAAATTTTAATTAATTTACAGGTTAACGCATCTCAACAAAAACGAGCAAGGACAAGAATTACTGATGATCAATTAAAGATTTTAAGAGCTCATTTTGACATAAATAATTCTCCATCAGAAGAGCAAATCAATGAAATGGCTGGTCAGAGTGGACTACCTCCAAAAGTTATCAAACATTGGTTTAGAAATACACTGTTTAAAGAAAGGCAAAGAAACAAAGATTCACCCTACAATTTCAATAATCCACCATCCACTACTCTCAATCTTGAAGAGTATGAAAAGACTGGTGAAGCCAAAGTTACACCTTTAAATGTTTCTAGTAATAGCAGTGAAGATCAGAACAGCTCTAAAGAAGCTCCGAAGACTCCTACTCCTACAAAACCATCTCCCTCTCCAATACCACCATCACCTCAGATGCCACAACCATCCCATACACCTCAGCAACAGCACCAGCAACAATATCAGCAAAACCAGTACACTCAGGACATAAAGACTGAGCCTCGAGATCATGATTTCCAGGAGCAGGAACAAGAGAAACAACACCATCAGCAATCACAATACAATCACAATCCTCTTCAAAGCCCTATGAGTCCGAATGACCGCATTAACTTAGTAACATCTAGAAACAACTCTCCTGAAAATTTAACTTTAACATCTATCATTTCATCTCAGCTGGGCCCTAATATGCCGCCAAACATGACACCTAATACTCCAATGAGCATTGCCTCATCTCATCCAAATATGTTACCTCCTAAACTAACACCTCCCAACTTCACAACTCCTAACCATCAACTACAGATGACTCCAACAAGTACAGATTGCTATTCACATGCTCTCATGGGCGGCGGTTCCGGCAATTCAAGTAGCTCATCTGGAAAAAGAGCAAATCGAACAAGATTCACAGATTACCAAATTAAAGTACTTCAAGAATTTTTTGAGAACAATGCTTATCCCAAAGATGACGATTTGGAATATCTTTCGAAACTCTTGAGTCTCAGCCCTAGAGTCATTGTAGTGTGGTTCCAAAATGCCCGACAGAAAGCTAGAAAAGTGTATGAAAATCAACCTCCAGTTGAACTGTCTCCTGGGGTGGATGAAACTGGAGCTGGAAGATTTCAGCGCACCCCCGGTCTCAATTATCAATGCAAAAAATGTCTCTTAGTTTTCCAAAGGTATTACGAACTCATTAGACATCAAAAGACTCATTGTTTCAAAGAAGAAGATGCCAAAAGATCAGCACAAGCCCAGGCTGCTGCAGCTCAAATTGCTGCGGTCTTGTCCTCAGAAGATTCTAATTCAAGTACAATAATTGAACAAAATGCACAAGGGCAAATGTGTATACCTGGATTACCTACAAGCAATCCTTCTACTCCTGCAGCTTCAGTAACTCCGACTCCATCACAGAACATGTTCACTCCTTCACCTGCTCCTAGTTCCAATGCCAATCAAGATGGAAAAGACAGTTTCCAGTGTGATAATTGTAACCTCGTTTTCCCAAGGTTTGACTTATGGAGGGAACATCAGCTGGTACATTTCATGAATCCTAATCTTTTCCCATCATATCCCCCTGACAGTCCTTTTGGAATCTTACAACAGCATGCTCAGCTTCAGCAACAACAGCAGCAGCAGCAAAGTCAGCAGCAAAAAATGAATGAAATGCCAATGAATCCAAACAATCCTCATCCTTTGATCTCAATGCTTGCAGCTAACAAGAGGAAATTTGATGAATTTGACGAGTCTAATGAAAAGGAAGGCGAACAACCCAAAGATAAGAGATTAAGAACGACTATTCTTCCTGAACAGTTAGACTACCTGTATCAAAAATATCAAATCGAAAGTAACCCATCTAGGAAAATGTTGGAAAATATTGCTAGGGAAGTAGGACTTAAAAAAAGAGTTGTGCAAGTATGGTTCCAAAATACAAGAGCTCGAGAGAGGAAGGGTCAGTTTAGGGCCCATTCTCAGGTGATAAATAAACGGTGTCCCTTTTGCCCAGCATTATTCAAGGTCAAATCTGCTCTGGAAAGCCACCTCACTACCAAACACGCCGACCAATGTTCTCGTGGGGAAATCAATATCGACGCATTACCCGATGAAGAGACGCCTGACAATCAGTACCATCAAATGTCAAACGATAGTCAAAAGTCCTCCTCAAACTTTAACAGCATGATGGTACCTTTTTCACCTTTTAACAACGAGATGGAAAATTCTTTGAAAAAGTATTACGAAGAATCGATGAAAAGGTGCTACGAAGCCATCAACGGTGGTGGAGGTAAAGAAATTGGAGATATGAGTGTTAAGAAAGAAGGAAAGGGACAAGGTGAAGGAGGAGATTGTCCTCTCGACCTCAGTAAACCAGTCGACCTGAGCAGGCCGATGAAGCTGTCCTTAGAGCACATGATGATGGAACAAGGGCCACTCACAGATCTCAGCGAAAGAAGTTTGTGCGATGACGACAGCTTTTCAGAATGCACAGACAACATGGACGACGAGAGTAACCCTACCTCTCCCGCTTCCAATCAGAGTCAGCAACCGAAATCAAAAAGGTTCAGGACGCCTATGTCGACATTACAGGTCAAGTTAATGAAGACTTTATTTGCGGATTACAAAACGCCAACAATGGCGGAATGTGAGATGCTAGGCAGGGAGATAGGTCTTCAAAAACGTGTAATACAAGTTTGGTTCCAGAATGCTAGGGCCAAAGAGAAAAAGTACAAAGCGGCTATCCAGTCAATGGGTGGTCAAACAGATCTCGAACGACCTCCTGAAGAGTGTAAATTTTGCCAGTTCAAATATTCCCATAAGTACTCTGTCCAAGACCACATTTTCACCAAAAAGCATATAGACATGGTGAAAAGTTATTTGGAGAGTTCGCTAGTTAAAGGGGAAGACGACTTTACGGTGCCTCCAGCCCCAGGGGTTTCGGGCGAGAACAACAACAATAACACGCAGGCCCAAATGGCACAATTACAGATGCTGCAGATGGCTGGTCTGTCGCAGGCGCAAGCAATGGCGATGGCGGTCAAGATCGAGGGCAAGGAACAACAGCAGCAGCAGCAGCAGCAGCAACAACAGCAGCAGCAGCAGCAGCAGCAACAACAACCTAGTCCCGAAGACATGGCCCTACTTCAGCAGATCTACGGCATCAGCGGGAGCTACCCTCAGGGCTTCGTCCATCCTGCCCTCCTCTCCGCCACCGGTGAGTACCATCTCCTTTCATTTTCAAAACAGGGCCGCTTCAGATAAACTGATGACATTTTATGTTTGATTTTTATTTATTCGAATAAATTATGTATAAATTCCTATTACCTTGTTGCCATCAGATTTATTCCTAAGTTTAACTGAAGCTGTCATATTTTTTATTTAAAAAAAAAAAAATGATTTGATTTTAGATTTTGTAGAATTCATTAGTTTTTACAAGTTTATGGATTATGTCACCGCAAAATTTGATGCAGAATCCACACTAATTTTATGACATTAAAGAATTTGATGTTCAGGGTTAATTATGGGATGGTGCAGGGATTTTTATGAGACTTAATTTAAACGATTATGCTTGGTGTCTGATGGTTCCAGTTTTCATCTTGAATGTAGATTAAGACAAGGGTTAGGATGAGAGGGGAGGGGATGAAAATATGTGACAGTTTCTGTTCATCGGCCCGCACTGAACAACTGGAGTGTGAGAGCCCTGGAGTCAGGATGCACGTGGGATCTCTCCCCCTTCACGGCAGGATTAAGAATTCTATTATTTTTTTCTGTTGCCCATCCGCTCCTGTATCCTGAGGCCCCCTCCAGTTCCCGCCCTAAAGGTATCCTTAATAATAAATATTTCTAATCATAACCGAAGACCGTTATTCGTCTCCTATGGATAGTCCCGCCTTCTCCTATTTCTTCCACGTTCCCTCTACTTACAGTTATTCTTACACTTCTGATATTTTTTAAATAGTCTGTTTTTTATGTGATACTTCTTTCGTTACTTTTTTTTATGCCTCACCCATCCAGTGAAGAAACCCCGCTTCGACGTGAGAGATGTGTGTCAGTTTCTTCCATTGGAATGATTTTGCTTTGCGTTCCGGTGAGTCGGAACTAATCTCGTCGAGGAATCCTTCGCATCATGTGATGTGACTAAACAGAACACATGTCCACCCCAGTTCCATTTTTTAACGTCCTAGATTCTGTAATTTTTAGTGTTTTAGGATGTAAAGTTAAAATATGTGGTTGAAATAAGTATCTTATGCAAACAAACAATTATTTTCATTTCTCTCAATTTTACTCCCCAAACCTTCAATTTTCCCGATATTAATAAGCAGCCATCTTTTGCACCTTTTTCATGGTAAGGACGGCACTGATATTGTGTTCGCAATTTATTCATTAAAAATACAGTCGGCTATTTTTACTTCTTTCCATATAATTATTTATAAATCTTATGTAATCTATCCATTATTCCTGAAACAATTTTCCATTTTTTTCTCTCCATCCTTTGTTATTAATGGATAAAATAACTCCTGTTCCCTCATAAAGAAAGAAGATAATAAGACAACAAAAAAAAGTACCATCATTTACGAAAAAAAAAATTGATAATGTGGCGTGTAGTGGGAATAAGATATATTTCTTATGATTCCTGAGAGGTAATTGCAAGGCCGTAATAAGGACATAATATTATTTACTAAATTGTCCAACGTTTTCTATTATCTATTGTTGTGGTTTCGCCTTCAGAGGTCGCTCTGAGGTCAGTCTTTGTTACAACGAGGAAGACAAAATTTTGTTGTTAAAAATGGAGGATTCAATTACTGTATGGGAACTAATTAACTGATAATGAGATAAATAATTATTTAGAGATCTATTTATTAATGCATATTTGTTTAGCGTAAGCCGTGGGCATGGGATATGATCTCGGTTTCTTACATTTTAGGTATGGTATATTGATTGATTTATGGAACTAATGTTCAATTCGGTCTTTTTGGCTCTTAAAATGGAACAAAAGCCCGGAGCTAAAAAAATCCACTGTTTCTGCATAAAAGGGTCCTGTAGTGCTGTTCCTTTTCAGATTCTGCAAAATACTTTTGGGTCGTGAGATTTTCGCACTGAATTGGCAAGGACAATGGAGCTGCCGAACCCCGAACCATTGTATTTTCCAAAGGTTCCCTCTTACATCGGAGCACCTGGTGTTTGCTTTCTGCATCTTCCATAATCCCATCTCCTCTTTAGAAAATTAAAGCGTTTTACAGTATCGCTCTTTGACAGAGCAGTATCAGTAAATGAAAATAAAAGTTTAACCTTAATAGATTCGTCATTATACATGCTATGATTTTTATGTTAGTACTTAATCCATTAAACATACATATCTAATATTAAATAATGAATCATTACATATTGCTTACATGGTAATTATACTTACCTACCTTTATATATTACCTTTTCGTTAGCCTATTAATGGCTACTAAGACAGACATGAAGATTTCCTGATCAAAAGCGGGTCGAGTACACCACCTGCTTTGACAATGATCATTTCCCTTTTACGGCCACGTTCCTCGTGAATACTCCTTTTGGTGCGTGCCGAAAAAAAAGGGAACCATTAAAAGAAGGGAGTTGTCCATAAAGTCAGGTGGTATTCAAATTTGACCACGTGTGTATATGGGGTGAACATGCAAATGGACCACGCGTGCGCTCCTGAGCCTATGCTAATGCGAGGGTTTGAGACTTTCCGAACCACAGCTCAACGCTACATAAATTTCAATAATAATCGGCCCGTAACATAATGGCGATTGAGAAGAGAGGGTAAACAGAACTGTGGAGCTAAGTCGTGGAGTGATCCTACGGTTGTTTTTTTTCATACCTGGAATGTTTGCATACATTTGTGGCATGTGCTGTGTATCCATTCCTTCCTTCTGCTATCCATCATTATTTTCTCAATGACTGGGCAAGCAAACTGTGAGATGGGTCAGAGCCAAGATGCGGGATAGATGCAAGATAAGTAAAGAGTTCGGTGAACTTTATTCAACCTTTTGTTTCTAAGTTCATAGGCTTTGTGAATATAATGCAGATTACCAAAGAATTGTTAAAAATTAACTGTAGATAAAGATAACTTGAATACCCGGCCATTACTCCCAGAGGTCTTTTAGAAGCCCTCTAAACACAAGACTATTAATAAGCTTTTAAAAATTTTCATTTAATCCTTGTCCATTGTCTGTTTACATTGAGCCCCAAGTGAAAGCGCCTACTCTGTTATATTAGTGACTGTTCTTCATGTAATATATCGTTAAATAATAGGAAAAAAGAAAAACGGCCCTCTGAAATTCAGTTCATGTACATACATATATTTTGTATAAAATACACCACCCTAGCCGAGATATCGTATGACAAGGAAAACTATGGATAATGGATCTTGCCTGACTTCCCCCTTTCGCGTCGTGGGTTGAACCCCGAATCCAATTTAGGTTTGAAAGAGTTCGAAACGATAAGATGTACGTTCGAGTGACTGTACCGAGGGTGAAAAAAAAATCTCGCAGATGCCACTGAATTTTAAACGATATCTGACTCAGAGGATAATATCCTTATCGGATCTCGGGTGAATCCTTTTTGCAACGGATCCTTCGCCTTTCATCCTTAATGGCCGCGCTGCTTAACGATCCTGGATATCCAGCCTCGTATATTTTTTTTTTCGCTATCGTTCTAGTCGATCTATAAAATTACAATTTTATTCTGAATTATTTATTTAAACAATAAAATTATTATCATACAAAAATTATAACGCACTATATTTGTTATTCCTCATGAGATTCTAAATTATGAAATGTTATTTTAGCGATCGATCGGCGTATACCAATCTCTCTTAATCCCTATAGTTAAAATCATATATCTATTTAATTTTAGAAAATCTACTAACATTGTTGTCTAAAGGGAATTTATGGATACCAATTCTGGGAATAGAATTGTTTTATTATGATGAATAAACAAAAAAACCCTGTTTTTTTTTATGTTCATCTTTTATGAATAATTTTTATTAAGTTCCATTTTAACAGTTTTTAAGAAACGTTTTTAATATATAGTTTTCGATTTGTAGTAAAAAAAATAACTTTTGTTAATTTAATTTTAAGCTAAGCGAACAGTAATGAACAGTAATTGAGCCTAGTTCAGAGTTTATCTTAAATGAATCGCTTGATTCCAATTTGTTTTTGGTTTTTTTGACTACCTAGTCATTTTGCAGATATACGTTTTGGCGAAATGAACAAAACTTTTCAATAATGGTTCTGTAAAACCTTTTCTTAAAAAATTCAATAACGGGAAAAATTTGGAAAAATACATTCGAATAATACTGAAACTAAAAATTAATTTGAAGCCCTGATATTTATAAACCATTAATTTATCATTATTAAAAATGTACATAGATATTACTTTTTATTAATGTATTCGTAATACAGCTGTTATTCACGGTCACATCGTTAATTAAGCTCGATTGTACGAATGCTATATTGTACCGCATATGTATTTGCCGACTGAGGAAGGGTGTGCAGTTGCAAAAAAAAAGTATATGTGTATTGTACAATTAAGCGTGGACCCCTTTCGGCCATAAAGACACCCCGCGGGGACACCCCTGGAACCAGGGGGTAGCGGATGGTTTTTTTATGTTAAAGGCGGGACTCCAACCCACCCCAGGATATAAATTAAAGCCATGGACGACATTAGTTTTTACGTCCTTTTTCGGGGGTGGGGATTAGGTTTATTTTTCGAAGGGTGAGACCTCCCCTTGAGACAATATCTGAGCGATGATTCAGCGGCTAAGAGTTTAGGGGTAAAACATTGGCAAGGGGGTAAAAAAAAAATAATACATATCTCGTTTAATCTCTCATATCCCATTCTGGATCATATAGAATTATTTATCGCTCGCAATAATTTCTTATTGGCTTCATTTTATTTTATGGCTTGGGGATATCGGATTACTTGTAACTGGCATTTATATATGGCCCTTGTTACAATTGGTTGAAAACCGAAATTTTCTAGTTTAAATTTGTTAAATCGAGTTTTATATTAAAATCAGTCGCCTTTCATACTTTTGTTTAACGAATTCCCCTTTACTGAGATATATGTGGCTATAATAAGTTTATATAGATTCATTTCTTCCTGTACTTAAGTATGCAGTAATTTCCAAAACAGTGGTGTGACAATAATAGTGAAATTATTTGATCCTGTAAATTATTCCCAAAACAGCTTCAGGATAAGTTAATCGTTTATATATATCTTAGACAATTTTGAATATTTAATAGTTGACCGTTGAATTATAAACTAAGGAGATGGTCAGGGTTGGCGGTCATAAATAGGCTAAATAGTGGCAAAACTATTTTATTAAAAGCTAACGTTCCGACCCGACTTTGCAGGTGTGTTCAGCTAGGATTTTCACTTAGAACTGGGCTAGTGAAACTGCTAGCTGAACACACCTCCCTGAAGAAGACCTGCAAAGTCGGGTCGAAACGTTGGCTTTTAATAAAATAGTTTTGCCACTATTTAGCCTCCTATTTATGACCGCCACCTCTGACCATCTCCTTCCTTAGAAAATTTTGTTTGTGTTTTTTCTTTGACAATTGTTAATCATAAAATGAACTGTTAATAAAAAAAAAACTAAAATTATCTTCAAAATATCTCATTCTATTTTTAAAAAGAATATCATGTCTAACTTTCTTGTATCGGAATACTTTTCTGTACCCCGGAGTTATAGGATACCGTTTCCATTTTTTCATTAAATGATTTCGTAGCTAAGAAAAAAAATTTTAATAACTCAAAATTATGGAAATCAGCTCTCCCAACAAAATTAAAAAATGTGACGTTGTCCTTTACCTCCGGTAGACAGATATAGTTACTACAAAGTTTAAATTTTTCAGAGAAAATTGGCTCCCTTGAACTAATACAAAAATGGATATGGTGTTGTTTATCTGCGGGGCACAGAGTTATTAAAATGAAAGATATATTTTATTAAATTTTTTAAAATGATCAAATTTTTAAAGTTTTATTTAGAATTCTCTCACCTCCCATGTCATGCTGCACCTGGTGTGTTTTTTCTCTATGAATTTGTGCATGTCGATGTCGTCATGTTATATTTATTTTGTGTGTGATTTTATTGAAATTGGCTTATTTATTTCTGAAGCTCGTTAGTGTAGCTTTTATTTTTATTTTATTATTTTTTTTTGCCTGTTACAATGTTAAAGTTTATATAGTCGTGGGATCCATTAACTCAGATTAATTCATTTTGAAATAATTAAAAGAATTTAAAATGTCTTCGATCTTCGTTTTATGTTTTTATTTATTATTTTCAAGAAAATCTAAATAAAATAGTTGACGGTTCGAATGCCCCCCCTTGTATAAAAAATTCCCCACCGTTGGGCCGACTCCACCCCTCCCAGTATTTTTTCATCAGGGGCCCCCCATACGGTATGGGGTATCCCAAGGCAATATAAGAAGGAAATAAAGATATTAATATTTCAGACTTCCCCTAAGACCATTTCAACATGGAGCAAATGTTGTTGGAACCTTGTGCCATCTAATCACAATTTCACACAATTACATCACATACATTACACAGTAGTGATATTTTGAAAATAAATTTTCTCTTTTTTAATTTTTTTTTAGTTTTATTTTTTAATTTTTTTTTATTTTGGATTTTATTTTAATTTTTTTTTCGGTTTTTGTTTTTAGGTAATTAAAAAAGCGAAGATGGAGGCCTCCCGTAAAAAAAATATATTTATAAATAAAATAAAAAAAAGAAATTCTGTTTATACGTGTACAATATAATTTATATAGTTAGATAAAAAGTTAATTTTATTTGTATATTTATTTAGTATTTAGTAAGAAACTCGCAAATGCGCACATGTTCCTATTTTAATGTTATATTATTATACATATATATAAATAAATAGAATTATATATATATATTCGCAAAGTCCCTCAATAAGATGAATAAAGCTCATTTTATATATATTATAAATATTGTTTATATACAGTTGTAGAAAAGAAACAAATGAAGATATTTTTATATAAATATATATATATTATATAAGGCAATGTTTTAGTTTTTGTTAATTGCTTTGTTGTATAAATTGTATCAAAGTCTCCGGAACACGTAGCTTTAAGTCCTCGCTACGAGCTTTATTATATTGTTAATTAAATTTTTATTAGCGGAAAAAAAAAAGAATTTATGTTGCGAATAAACGAGCTTGTGACATATTAATTGTGTTTTATTTATTTATTTTTGTTTTCCACATTCTTTTTTTGTTTTATTTTTTATTTTTATTTCACCAAAACTCATATTACACTACAAGTAAATCAGTTTAGCAAAATCAAATTAAAAAAAAAATTATGATTTTATAAAAAAATAAAATAAAAATGAAAGAAATTGAAGGAAAACTTACTATTCAAAATTGGAGATGGAGGCCTCATATGGGTGAGAATACAGGTAATGAAATTTAATTTGGCATGTGGTTTTGACAACATTTGTGTGTCTTTTGCATTATGCATGCTTGTGTAGTTTTTTTTTTTTTATCCATATTGCATTAAAAATATAAACATTAAATAAATAAATAAGTTTAAAAATATTTTTTTAGAATTCCTTCACAGTTGATAAACAATTTGCTGCACCCTGTTAAAATGTAAATATTTTTATCCTTTATTCCAAAATTCCTGTTTTTCATTACTTATAATTTTTTTTAAATGCCTTAATCTCTATTATATTTAATAAATTTTGTTTTACTCGTTTAAGAAATGCATGCTATTAGTAGAGTAAATAAAACACCTTTCCATTTTATTTACCTAATTTTAAACGATAGCTAATATGTGTAAATAAGTATGAATTTTAGTTAGCACTTAAATTATTTCTCAAATCAAGCACATGCTTTCGCTAAAATTGCTTCAGAAACATTTATTTTTAAAAATAAAAAATCTCCTTTGCTATATATTATTCTAGGGATTTATGGACTGTTAATAAGTAATTTAATTTTTATATTAATTAAATTATAATTTCTATTTCATGCAACAACTGTAACTGATGGGATTATTTTTTGAATTAAAAATAATTTTCCTTTCTTTCTTATTCGTAATTTAGATAGTACTACCAATGGTAGATGGTTTACAAGCCTTGTCATGCCATATATTTCTCTGTATCTCATTTACTGAATGTATATTAATTTATAAATTTCATATTTTAAAACAATATTCTTAATGAAGGCTCGTTTATTTACCATAACACATTTCAAAATAAGAAATAAGTGTAACTAGTCGGAATGAAATGTATTTTCATGTAAATAGTGAATTAAAATGAAAATGAATAAATATTTTTTTTAAAAACCGGAGTCATACGTATAAACCATTTTTTTCCCTTTCTAATTAATTAAATCCTAATTTATTTAATACAAAAATGTACTAGTTAAGCCTTCTGAATAAAAATTAAATATAAGTCATCATTCTCCAGAACACACTGTAAAAGTATCCCTTTTCTTTTTAAATAAGTTACACTAACACACCTTTAACATTCAACTGCAAACATAGCAATTAGAATAAATACATTTATATAACTAAAAATACATATTATGAAAAGAAAAGTCATAAAATAACATTTGAATTAATTTTAAATGCCATCATTAACCAAATAGTAACATCAAGACCAAATAGCTATTACGGCAAAATATGACATTAATAAACTTTTTTTTAACAATAAAATAAATAAAAAAGCTGTGCTGTAAAACTAATAATCCATTTATGATATATAATTATGTCAGGTAAGTTGTGTTTTTGTTTACTAATTCTTTAATGGATCAGAACTATCAATAACATCGAAATTTGTTGAACCGTGTTAACTAACTTAACAAAAGTTTGTTTAAATTTTATGTAAATGCATCTTATAAATTTTGAAGAAAGCTAATCCTTCTGTAATAACCTTTATTTTTTTTATCTGTTTATGTTTTTATATTTGTTATTATTATTAAAGAAATATATTTCCTTTAATCTGATGTTTTTATGAGCATGTGAAATATTTAATGTAGATATTTTTAGCTGATTTCGGTAAAATAACCTTCAACTTAACGGCGGGATGTTATAAAATTTATTTTATAACATTTGATTTTACAAGGATTTTATATTTTTAGTTATAAATTAAGATTAGCTTACTTACTTTCCTGTGGCGTTGATAACCAAAAGGTTTTACGCCTTGAAGATATAACAACAATCTACTTAATTTTGTTTAATTTAAATAATGTATAAAAATGGTCATGGAATTTAAATATATAATTTTAGAAATAAATATTTAATTATTTATAGCTTCAATCAAATACTGAAAATAGATACTAGCTTTTGGTACTTACTATTTTTTTTTTATTTAAAAAAATCAACATATTGTATTAGTTCTAAAAATGAAAACAATCATAAATCTATCTTTGAAACATTTAATAAGCTCACATATTTTGAAATATTTTTATTTGGTTAGAAAGTTTAGGCTTTTACAAATAAACAATTCTTAATTGTTTATTATGACCATTGAAAAATTCCAAAATTTTAATTTGTTAATAATAACGATGAGGAGACTTCGAAATGTGTCAATAAAACGGAATTTCATTTTTTGTATTATTATAATTATATTTGGTATTTTTTTTATGTAGGTAGAACTTAATTTAATAAAATGTTTTTATGTTTACTTATGTTCCTTAATTTAATAGGTTAGAGATGCCAAAAACTGGTTCTTTAGGTTGCCGAAAACTGTCCCATACGGATATTTTTATATTTTAATACTAAACAATGTTTTAAAAGACACTGTTCCACATATATATCTTGAAGGAGAGATCTTCACTTACTTATCCTGAACCGAAATTGTTTTCACATTTTGAAGTTTCCGTAAGGGTGCCTAAAATTGGGGGTTTTTACTCTATTTTGTTATTATTACAGACATTTCGATGTCCTGAAATCTTTCAAAAACAACAAGAAAACAAGAAATTCCATAAAAACAGGTGTTAGTATTATTTTAAAAAGTTCTATTTTAACTGTCTGCGAAAAATTTTAGGGAAAAAATTGTATAAATAAACTTCTCTAAGGAACTATTCGCAGTAAAGTTCTATATGTATAATAAAGAAACATCTAGAATAAAAAAAAACAGGTAAAAGATTAACTTTTATCTATTTATTGAAGGAAATTAGTCGGCTGTTCTACGTCATCACCCATTTTATTTATTTAGTTTTTTTTAATTGTTAGGTTGGATTGAGTAATGAATTTCTCCATGAGTGCCAGGCATATTTGTCCTGCCATTCACTTATAATATCTTTATTATGTATATCTAATTTAGAGTGTAAATCATCTTAAATGAGTTACATGATTCTAATGTACCCTTCGTTTGAGTAGCTAATCATTTTTAGTCATTTTGTTTAGGTCGGTCTCCTGGAGAAATCAACTGAACTAATAAATAAAAGTCTAGTAAAACCACACGAAAAATTACAAGAAAAATAATAATAAAAACTCATGATTCGAGTCATTCTGAAACTGATTAATAATAGAAGTTAAACTTTCATTCCAACTGTCATTCTAAATCATTAGATGATTTAGATAGACATCCACATTTGAAGTCTAAGGGCTCCTACTCAGAGAGTGCGATATGTCTCGGCCACGGGCGGATCTACGGGGGGGCTTTCAGGCTGAACTCCCCCCTCTCTCCCCCAAAATGGAAAAAAATATTAAAAAATTATATCTTAAAGTATTATTGTTCGTGTAATTACATTTAAAAGGACTTAAGGAATCACTTAAACACCATTTCATATAGATAGTTAGTTTCTTTCTTTTTTTCCAAAGTAATTATCTTCATTTTTAAGAAAAAAAAAGCTTTCGGGCTGAAGCCCCCCCCCAAAATTAAATCCTGGATCCGCTAGTGGTCTCGGCGATACGATATTCCTGTTGACGGCGATATGGTGATAAAGTATTACTATCTATTGCATTATAACAGTCACACAGAGCGGATTAATCCATCGGAATACCGATAAAGGAATATCGTATGGCCGGAACCTAACGTGTCATATCTGTAGAAGCCTTAAGACACCACTGTTATGTGTTAAACTAATGCATAGGTTATTATTAAGGACTTGGACGGTTAGTGACAGCGGTAATGATCCCTGTTTGGGTACTCTCACCACACTCTCCTCTGGCTCATTATCTAAAATTCATAGGAGCCCTCCGGTGTTGCTCCAACTCCCTTAGAAGTTATTGTTAATGTACAATATTGATGAAGTGAGGAAGAAGAACCCCGGCAGTCATGATATATGAGGCCCCTTAAACATGTGTCAACTGGAGGGAGACAATAATTTTTCAAAGGCCTAGGTGTCATTGGAGTGACACAATGCTGCCAATTAGCTGCCAAAAGGAGGGGGGGCTCCCAAGATTATTGTTGCTGACCCTTCTTTCTTTCTTCAGCGTATCCTTTTAAATGGTTTGGAGTGGATCCTCGCTCTTGTTACTGTGCGTTCAGCCGTTATTCCGGGGTCGATTGTTCCACCGAAGGATGAAGATGGAAGTTATTGACGAAGATTATCCCCATTATATTATATGAATAAATAAAATTCTAGTGTGATGTTTTAATCGGTTAAAGTGCAACCATCCTTGCTAGTTTAAATCCCTCTAGCTATTTTCTGCTTTATAGCTATTTTAATCGCTATAACCTGCATAAACCAACCATCCAACTTAAACAAATCTAAAATTAATTGAAGAATAACTAAATAATCCAACGTGACACATACTGTATTCAAAAAAATAATATGTACGTTTGAAAACTGCATTGCTAAAAAGTTAAAATAAAACCTTTTTAAAAATTTCCATCTTAACAGTTTCTGTGAACATCTTTCATTTTAATAAAGTTCCATGTTTATGGCCAAGGTTTAACTTGTATTCATTTAATTTCTTAAAAAAAGTTCCGGAATATTATCTGATAATAGAATATTATCAGTGATAGGGCTGAGATTAGACTTGTAATTTTTCTTTAATGAATACCCATGATTCTTATGTGTCATTTGTTCGAGTAACGAAGAATGAAATTTAATTTTTAGAGCGACTATTTAGCGACATCGACAGAACTTTTGAAACCCGTAATTTCAAAGGGAAAAAGTTCCAGTTCCAAAATAACTGAAAAAAAACTATGGATAATTAAATAATTCCGTGATACCGAAACTTTTTTAAAATAAAAGCTTTTTTTTCCGTTTCAAGCTATGATTATAAATTTATAGTATGTATATTTCAGAGGCAATTG